GGAAGGAAGGAAGGAAGGAAGGAAGGAAGGAAGGAAGGAAGGAAGAGAATCAACTTCTGAGAGTTGTCCTTTGAATTCTACACATGCATGAATGCACACACACACACACACACACACACACACACACACACACACACACACACACACACACACACACACATGCACGCATGCACAAAACCAGCAAATAAATGTAGTGTTTCATTTCGTTTTGTTCGGAAGAGCAGAAACCTGTGTTCTGCATTGATTGAGCACTGACTTCCGATTCTCACCACTAGATGGTGATGAGAACCTTAATGAAAACAGAGGCCTGGGTGTGTCCCGCTTGGCAATCATTAAAACTTGTTTTCAGGTTCCCTCAAGACACCAAATTGCCTGTCATTTCTCCTCTGCCTGGAAGAAGTGACATCTCCAGGGACTTGAACATCTTGAAGGAGGGGTCTCCCCAGCTCTGATCTCAGGCTCTGTTCTTTGATGCTGGCTGTAGAGTCTCTCAAATGCCTGTGGAGTCGACTGGAGGACTTGTTAAAAAAGGGATTGCCAGGCCATGACTGGTCTGGATGTACTCATGAGCTTGCATTTCTGACAAGTTCCCAGATACTGCTGATGCTGCTGGGCCAGGGACCTTACCCTGAACACCCCAACTGTGGAACATTCTGGAAGCATCAAAAACCCTAACTATCTGCCGCAACTCTGCCAAATGCCCTGTCCCCAGTCCTAGCCTTGACTTGGCTAAAAGGCTATGCAACCAAATCTCCCTTAGAGGTCAGCTACTGTGGAAGTACAAAGGCTCTTAAATTAGCAGAACTCACAGTGACCATTTTTAATGACACTGTACAGGGCGCAAGCCTAGAACTCAGAAGATCAGTCACAGAATGTTCTGCTCTACCCCACACCCAGCACACCCCTCACACCTCCAGTGACTCATATTTACGCCCTCGGTTCTCAAAACATGGCTCCTGAACCAGGACCATCAACATCACCTGAAACTTGCAAACTCATGATACACACCCACCTGGTGTCTATCAGAAACTATTGTTTTCAATTAGATCTAATTAGACAAGCTCATGGTCTCCGTGAACTTTGTCCCCTCGTGTTAAACCGAGAATATGCTACATGGCAACAGACTTTGTCAGTGTTAAGGTTCTTAATTAATCTTTCTTAAAAAGTAAGGTATTTAATGAACCCTAACCACATAAGCCCACACAAGAGGAAGGAGGCAGATTAGGGAAGTTGGAGCCAGAGGATCAGACACTGGAGGGCTTTGCGCACAGCTGCTGGCTTTGAAGATGGCACAGCCTTGGGCCAAGGAATGCACAGCCTCTACAACCAAACCAGCAAGGAAACGGGGTCCTCCCTCCTACAGCCTGGCAGGAGCGACGTCTACCAACAACATGAATGATGAACCACACTGGAAGCAAGTTCTCCCATGAGATCCTCCAGCTGGGACCCAAGGGACCCACTCCTTTACTTCATCCTGGGAGACCCAGACCAGAGAGACCAACCACGCTTGCCTCTCCACCTGCCTTCCAGAACAGTGAGAACAACCGCAAGAGTCCCTTCATGCACCTGGGTTGTGGCAGCTTGTGAAGGCAGCAAACCTGGGTTTCATTAGACCCACGGCTGTATTCTGATACTGAATACAGGCAGCCCTCGTATCCGAGGAGTTCACATCCACAGACTTGACCAATTAGAGATTGAAAATAGTTTTAACTGTGTCTCTGCTGAATATATACAGCCATTTTTTGTCGTTATTCCCTAAATGACAAAAGATAGAACTACTTAGACCCCACTCACACTATATTGGGTGTTGTAAGTTTCTAGAGTTGACTTCAAGCATATGGGAGAATATAACTGCACAGGTTATATACAAATACCAAACCACTTCAGAGACTTGAGCATGCATGAGTTTCAGGCTCTGTGGGGATGTGAAGATTAATCCCCTTGGATACTGACAAGCAAACATACAAGCACTTGCAGACTGTCTCAGGCCTGTGTTGGTCCACTCTACTGCAGTGTGAAAGCGGTGTGCAAGGCCATGCTTCTCGTTCTGCACTCTGCCCTCTTGCAGAGTGGTGACAGCAAACCAGAGCTGAGTCACTATGAGAGGACACAGCAGACATCTATAGGATGCTGTGCTGTTAGCCCAGGATGTGCAATAGATAGGTGGGCCATAGGAAACCCATTTTCACCTCAGGCTATTTCAACTCGCCATGGAGTCACCAAAACATGACCCCTCAAGTCAATGATAGGTGTATAGCACATGGAATTATTTGGTAATTTTTGACAACTATCTTCAGATAATTGGCTTGCTTTTAACAATTAATATATGTATTAATTTTCTGAGTAGGGGTCCACAAGTCTCACCAGACTACCGAAGTCCACAGGGAGAGAGGAGGACCTAAATGAGAATGTGAGAGCCTATCTTAGACACAGAGATAAACCTGTGAGTCTCAGAAGATGAGAACAGGGTGTGATCTGGAAGTTCTACCTCATGTTCAAGAAACCAGACTAATCCTGTTATTTCAAACCCAATGAATTGTAACTAACAGTTTGGAAACAATGGGTTTCTGGGGCTATGTCAGGCCCGCACCTGCTTCCTGAGTCATACATACCACACATATACAATACATTTATTCCACATGCATGCACATATACCCTACATAGATACATCACAGACTCCACATACATATCATATTTTTATAGTCAACAAAAACATTATATATACGCGAAGAAAGAAAAACATTCTTTTTGCCCCAGAACTAGGATTTTCCATATCAGGCTAGGCTTTTCATCTTGGTGGTATCTAGGGCTGTGGTTTTCAACTCTGTCACCCTGGCCATGGAAAGGGACATAGTTCACACCATAAGACACATCACATGTGTGTATTTGAGCAAATGCATATGTAGTCAAATATATACAGATACATTTAAGACAACGGTTTCCCTAAATAAACTCTACACTTTTAACCCCCATACATTCTGTTCCTTCTTATTCTCAGTTCCATGTTGTTGCTTTCTTCCTTCTTTACACCAGTCAATTTTACTGAATTCATTTTATACCCAACGAGTTGCAACTAACAGTTTGAAAACCACAGTCTCCAGAACTATGATGGAGCCTATACCCACTTCCTCAGTCACATGTAAAGCACACACAATACACACATCCCACATGCATGGACATATGCCCTATATAGATATATCACACACTTCATAAAAAAATGCACATGCCACCCATATACCTGACATCTCACATACACATATATACAGACGTCAAACACTGTGCCACATGAACACACACCCTTCACATTACACACATATGCAATACACATACCACACACGCTTTGCAATATACTCTACACACTTACACAGCAAATACATTCACATCACACATACTCACACATTACACACAGACCCTATATACATACATATACCACACATAGCATATGTACATCCCACACATACCCACACATACCCACACACAATACACCTGTTCTCTACATAAACATTTCTTTGTCTCTCCCTTCTCCCCTCCCCTTTCTCTCCTCCCCTTTCTCTCCTCCTTTCAGGTCCTCGGAGGAAATCACAGTCACCAAGAAGTATCTAGTCCCTGAGCCGTGGTTATGTCCTGAGAAGAATGTATTTTAAGTCATGACTCAACTTCTCCCCTGTGATCTTCAGCTCCGGGACCACCACTGTCCCTGACTGCTTTCCAGTGGCCCCTGGAAATGCTGCTCCATGAGAGCTTTGTGAGAAGCCCTGCAGGGATGGGAAACAGGATGTCGGAGACTGAGATGCAATGGGAATCCAGGAAATGTTTTCCATTTTTCCTGACGCCATGAGCAGAAAGGCAGGGCCTGAGTGACATGTCAATCCAGATGTCCCAGGATTTGCAGTCAGAATTTTAGATCTTATTCTCTTTTGTTCCTTGGGTGTACTTGCCTACTAAATGTTAATTGATTGGTTTGAGACATGTGGTTCCCCACTTCCTCCCCAGCAGGAAGTGCAGCATTTAAACCCAACATTCCCCACCACTGTGCCCATCCGCATGGAAACAAGAAAGAAGCATGAAGGAATCAAGACTGTGAACCATAAAAGCCACAAGTAAAAAGAAACAGACATGTGAGCCTCCTGCTAGCAGATAGCTAACGAGAGGCAAACACTGCTACAACCCACCCACCTACCACCCTGTGGGCATTCCTCTTGAAACATCACCAATGTCAAAGGAGAGACCATTGGAGAAAAGAAAGAGGAAGGCCCAGATTTGAGTGAATGTGGAATTAAACCCCTCCTATGTGTCTGTCTCTAAGAGGCTTGGCATAGGCAAAGCGATCCCCATGAAATGGGTTATTGCCCTTGGTAGGGAAGGGTATGACTCGATGGAAACAAGAAGGGAACTACCATGAGACTAGGTGTCCATATGTTCCTATCTCCATTTTCCCAGGACTCTTCTTAGCTAAGCGCTAAAACACGCATCCCGGGAAGTCTCCGCCCAGGGCAAAGCAAAGCGTTTGGTCACCTGCTCAGAATGTGACAGTGAGGACACACAGGTGCTGGGGGGTGTCTTTCTGTTTGCTGTGATTATGTGTTGCTCCCACTGGCTAATAAATAAAGCTGTCTTGACCTATGGCAAGGCAGTTTAGAGGCAGGCAGGAAATCCGAGCAGAGATATGGAAAGGAGGAAGGGGAGGAGTCACAGCCTCTGCCCAAGGAGCAGCAAGATGTCAGCAGACCAGTAACACTATGGCCACGTGGCAACATACAGATTAATAGAAATGGGTCAAGCTAGCTAGCAGGAAGCTTGAGCCATAGGCCATACAGTCTGTAATTAATATAAATCTCTGAGTGATTATTTGATAAGTGGCCGCAGGATGGGGGGATGGAGGTGGGGAGCGTCGGGCTGGACTGGAGAAACCTGGCTACACCCGGGTGGGTTGAGTCTGCAACAATCGAAGAAATGGATACCTATGCCTGCATGTTCCGTTTCAATAAAATGTACAGAAGATCCTGATAAGGATGTGGAGCGTACCTGGGCCTGCAGCTCGGCTTTCTGCGCCTGCAGATGGGTGAGCGCCTCCTTGCCCTCCTCCAACTGGCTCCGCAGGGCAGCCACCTCCCGCTCTGTCAGCAGCTTCTCCTGCATGAGGAGCTCAGATTCAGATTCATACAAGAAGACATGCAAAGATGAAAAGGGCAGAGTTGGGCCCCTTCTTTGTGTCCCCCAAGTTCACGAGCCAATGCCCGATTTGACAAGGCGTTAGTCAGTGGGAACCTTTGGAAGGTGATTAGGGTCAGATGAAGTCATGAATGTGGAGTGTACTTCAAATTGCTAAATGGTCTAATAATAATAATAATAATAATAATAATAATAATAATAATAATAATAAACGGAGTCATATATTGGGGTAAATGCTGAAAGATCAGAGAGACAAAGGAACAAACCACTACCACGTCTCACCTCGTCAACTCCACAAATCCTCTAACTGAATGCTCTGAGTCCTCAGCTGAAAGCTCTCCAGCCAAAAAGCTTCATCTGGAAAGGTTTTAGTTCCTGTTTCCTCACACCTTATATACCTTTTTCTGCCCAACCATCACTTTCTTCCTAGTGCTGGGATTAATGGCATGTGTGCTTCCCAAATACTGATAGCAAAGACATGAGATCTCAAGTGCGGGGATTAAAGGCGTGTGCCACCACTACCTGGCTCTGTTTCTTTCCTAGACTGAGTCAACCTCTTGTAGTCCAGGGTGGCTTTGAACTCACAGAGATCCAGGCAGATCTCTGCCTCCCAAGTGCTAAGATTAAAGGTGTGTGCCACCATAGCCTGGCCTCTATGTTTAATCTAGTGGCTTGTTCTGTTCTCTGATCTTCAGGCCAAGTCTATTAGGGTACACAATATATCACCTCAGTGGATAGTGTATACTCATAAGAAAAGGAGGAGTTAACAGGAGGCTCACCCTCCCACCCACCACCATGTAGGCACACAGTGAGAGAGAGCCTGTGACAGGTGCCAACTCTGCTGGCAACTTGGAGCTCCAGCCTCCAGAGCTGTGAGCAATAAACTAAGGGGTCCTGTGACAACAGCCCAAGCTGACTCAAACAGGCCCACGGTGGCCACTATCTGAACCATTAACTACTCAAGAGTAAAGCTCAGATAACAAAGATCTGGAGACCCAAGTATAGACCTCTTTGTGCCACAGACTGGCTAGCCAGACAGACATTTGACTTTCAAAGCCTCCATTTTCCTGTTTGTGAAAAGAAAACTGTGGAATGCAGATGCTCATTTGGCTCTGGGTTCTGTGTCTATGAAGGTGAAAATCATTTTGTGCTCTGAGCCATGAACTCTGCACCAGTACCAGGCAGGAGTCACCTAACCCCAAAAGGTGATAGGGAATTAGGGCCCTGCTGAGGCCACTGCACTGACCTATGGATGATCAATGGGGCAGAGTCCGGGAGGAACCCCCTTCCAACCTGTCCACAATCTGTCCTGACTTGCTTCTCTACTTATTCAAAAATACCAGTGATTCACAAAGGCTGACTGTTCAGGAACCCTGCCTTCAACACAGAGGACACTTCCTCAACACCCCATAAACTCAAAGCTGAGTCTATACTAAGTGTTCAAGCCACATCTAGAAGGCAGCCCCTGGTCACAGACACCTCATAAGGGGCTGCGAGAGTGTAGAAATCAAAGGTTCACATGTTGAAGACTGGTTTATTATCCTATGGAGCTATGGAGAGCGGTGAAACCTGTAGAAGGAGCCCTAGTGGGAAGAATTTAGGTGGAGGGCATTATACCCTTGAAAGAGATACTGGGTCCCAGGTCCCCTTACTCTCTTCTCCTTCTGCTCCTGTCATGAAGTACTGTATTGCCACAGGCTCAAAGCAAGAGGGCCCACTAACCACAGACTGAAACCCTTAAGGCCTGGCCTGCTTCCCCTAGCTAGGTTCCACCTCCTAAAGGTTCCATAAGCTCCTGTCATAGTGAGGGTTTCTATTGCTGTGAGGAGACACCATGACCACAGCAACAATTATAAAGGAAAACATTTAATTGGGACTCGCTTACAGTTCAGAGGTTCAGTCCTTTATCATCGTGGTGGGACATAGCAGTGTGCGGGCAGACATGGTGCTGGAGAAGTAGCTGAGATTTCTACATCTTGCAAGCAAAAGGAAGTGATCTGTCTCATTCTGAGGAGCTTGAGCATAAGAGACCTCAAAGCCCACCCCCACAATGACACATTTCCTCCAACAAGGCCACACCTACTTCAATAAGACCACACCTCCTAATAGTGCCACTCCCTGTGAGATTATGAAGGCAAATTACATTCAAACTACCACAGCTCCCAAAAGAAAGCCACCAACTAGGAACCAAGCATTAAAACACATGAGTCTGTAAGAGACATTTCAAGTTCAAACACTGACAATGTTCATTTGTGCAAAGGTAACCTCCACAAATTTCTAGGAAAAAAAAGGAAGAGTCAGTGAAACAAACCTGCAAGTATCTGCCTAACTAACAAGTGTCTCCCTAACTAGCCAGTCTACCTAACTAACCAGT